CTCCATTATCAATAAATTGTAACTTATGTTTACGAATAAATTTAGTACCTTCTTCTGAAAGTGTTTCGTCTATTTCACCATCTAATAAATTTTGTGTTGATTCTGAGACATAATTTTTATATCTTTCCTCATGTGATTTTTGAACTTCTGATTCTGAAGCTGGGATATTCATTAAACCCTCTACTTCATTCTCAGCATTTCTCAATTCAATAATTTTTTCATCTATTTCATTTCTTAATTGTTCCAATTTCTCAATCTCATCGTTATAATATTCATCTTGTTTAATTTTTTCTTCAAAATATTCAGGAGGTGTTTCAAGGCTCTCTGAGCCCAGGTCCTCTGGACCATAAAGAGGAATATTCTCCTGTTTTTCAACTTTTTTGGGATATAAATATCTCATTATAGCCTTTTTAGTAATTGGTCCGTTATATTTAAATTCATTCAACAATCTGGAAAACTCTTTCACATTCTGCATATATGTTGGATAAGAACCGTCTCCAAAATTTTCTAAAATATTTTCTAATTCTGAATTAGTGAACTTTAAAGATTTCAATGAATTAGTTGTTATACTCATTTATTATAAAATAAAAAATAAAAAAAATAAATTATTCAAAAAATGTAAGACATGAATTTCCTCCTTTTTTTCCCTGTTGTCAAAATGTCAAGACCTTCAGGTCTCGTCACACAGTGACTGTTGTCACTATTTTCAAAAAGATGTTAATTAACCGAGGGACCGAGGGACCGAGGGACCCCTCATTTATTCAAAAAATGTAAGACATGAATTTTTAAAGTTTATTTTTTAAAAAAATTATTTTTTTATTTCATCATGTATGGGCTGAGTGTAAATGTCTTACAATTTTGAAAATTTTTTAAATCTTGATTTATTCAAAAACGTAAGAATAAAAACCGTAAGAATCATACATTTTTTACTTCATATGTTAAAAAAAAATGATACAAAATCGTTCAATATTGTATGAATTCTTACGTTTACAAAAAAAGTCACAAAACCCGCTATATATACTACTAACATATGTGGTAAAAGGTGGATGAATAATCGTTCACTTTTACAACTTTGACCCACAAATTGAATACTTTTCCCAAAATATAGATACAAGGTGACGTGAATTTTGCATCCCTGGGATGGACGATACACCCAAAGTGTCACCTTTTTGGGATAACAAAAATTTATATATATGAGAGTTCTGCAAATCATATGCACAATATCTATTCTTCCTGACTTCTTCTATATAGGAGTCAGGCTGAATAGATATTGTGCATGTGGCAATATAAGTATTTCCGAGATTGCCATCGTGCGCTATAGTACACTACTTCTCCTTGGTCCTAGCTTAGTTCCAAGGATATCGGTGTTCAAGGATTTGGCAAGGTCCTTCTGAAGTCTCTCATTCGATGAGAGATTTCGGAAGAACCTTGCCTTAGAGTATTCCAACTCTTGTTCTCTTGTCCCTGAATAGTCAGAAAAGCTATTTGACTACTTAAGGCAGAGATTATCCAAGGTCCCTCATTTGATGAGAGGCCTCGGATAATCTCTGCCTTAAAGTTGTACACTTGTAGTCCATCAGAATGTAAGTATACACGGATAGGACAGCTTTCTTCTGAAGTCTTAGATTTGATGAGAAGCCTCAGAAGAAAACTGTCCTATTTTATAATAGGAGGAGTTTCAGAAGCTCCAGAGCTCCCTTTCGTAAGGAATAGGAGCTTTGGAGCTCCTGGTTCGAAGATGTGCTTCGCATCTTTCATCAGCATAGGATATTTATCAACTGGGACTCTGTTGATGAAGACTCAGGAGCTCCAAAGCTCCCTTTCGTAAGGATTAGGAGCTTTGGAGCTCCTGAAGGTAAGGTAGGATTGCTCTGATCTCTAATCAGTAGATGCCATGCCTCATTATGGACTCTACTGACAAGAGATCAAGAGCTCCAAGGACTCCCTTTTTAGCTAGTGGCATTCTCACCATTTAGTAGGATCGCTGATCCTACTAATGAAGTGATCACTTAATATACGTTTTGAATAAATTGAATTTTTTTACAAAAATTTAGTATTTTTTATAAACATCACATATATATTATAAATACGTAAATATATTCTTTAATTCAAAAAATTCAATTCGGTTTCGGGCTGGGTATCCCAGCCCCAAGTATTCAATTTTATTCAATTTTTTTAGAATTTTGGGTTGGGGTGCCCAGACCAAAACAAACTTTATATTTTGATATGTAGATGCGTATGTGTACATCATTATTGCGTTATATATTATATTTTTAATGAAAAAAATCTGATTCAAAAAAAAATTATCACTAATTAGTTGATAATATAAAGAAAAAATAGATAAATTGTATGTTTTGAGAGTATTTATCCACATTCACTCATATGAATTTCATTAAATAGTGTCTTTTTACTCCAAAATTTATTTTGAATTATTGAAATCAAAGAAAAAAAAAACTAGAAAAATTTCTCGAAATTTTTATTTTTTTAAAAATTTTGGATTTTATATTAAAAACTGACACTGGGAGGACGATAGGGCTGGGATTAGAGATACCCCGCTCACTTGGGAAAAATACGGATCTATACCCAAAACACCCACTATCCACGTGGCCTAAAATAATCGTCTTGATTAAAAATAATATCTAAAATTGAATATACATTCAAAAATAATTTTATTTTTTGAAGAAGTCCCACCTAAAGTCTTTGTTTGCTTGGGGAGTTCCATAGTTCCCAATCCTACGAAAGGGAGCTATGAAGCTCCTGAGGCCCTATCAGCAGAGGCCCTATTTAGCTCAAGAAGTAGCATATTGCACACTTGTCACTCTCTCAGTGCCATTCCGGGGGGCTTGCGGAGGCAATATCCCTTGGAATGGCACAAAGTTCAGCATTCATAACTTGAAACGGAACATTGAGTGACAAGAGTGCAAGAAAGAGAGAAGAAAAAAGAGAGAGAAAGAAAAAAAGAAGGAAAAAAGAGGAAAAATAGGACATATTAAATTTTATTTTAATAACTTTTTTGTTTTTGTTCACTGGCCGACGGCGGTGCGCTCCCGAAGGGCGCATCACCGCCGGAGGCTCCAAATTTTTGAAAATTAAATTTTTCTGGTGGTCCCCACTTTCTTTAAAAATGTGGGAAGTGGGAACTTTTTTCCGAAAGGTCGCAATGCATACGTAATATATACTGTAATAATTTTGCTATTCTCTTTGATGCTTTGAAATTTTTTTGATTTAATGCATTTGGAATGAGATTAATAATTATAAAAATAAAATATTTGCTCAGGATAGTTTTCAGAATTTTTGCCTTCCAAATACAATAGGTTATTTCGAATGATCAAAATAATTTCGCAAATTGAATCGCAATTGAATTTGCTGATATAAAGAGATAAAAACAGGTCATATCTTTCATGAATCAAGTATTGGTTTGTTTTATCAGAGATGGCGGTAAGGATTTTAATAGTTTTTAACATAAATAAGTTGTTTCATTGGAATATGGAATCTGAAATTATATTTGGGTTATCGAAAATCCGTGTTATATATGCGCGATAGAAATTATATATTCCGGAATAAGATTTCGAAATTGAATAGGACCATATAATATAAAATGATGAATTTTCGGTATATCGGATATAATATAGCTTAGAAATGATTGGAATTCTTTGAACTGCGAAAATAAATAATTATCATCATCTGAAAGAGAGTATTGATACAAATCTCGTACTTGCAAATCGAATGATAATTGATAATCGATCTCAGCTATATTTTCATGAAACTGATTTTAAAAATTATTGATTATCTCGGTTTCTGAAATAGTTAATTCAGTACTTATAATAGTTTCATCGAGAATAATGTTATCTTTGTTCGGTTCTTTGTATTGCATTGAAAGAAAGATAATATTAATAATAATAAATAATATTAATAATAATAAATAATATTAATAATAATAAATAATATTAATAATAATAAATAATATTAATAATAATAAATAATATTAATAATAATAAATAATATTAATAATAATAAATAATATTAATAATAATAAATAATATTAATAATAATAAATAATATTAATAATAATAAATAATATTAATAATAATAAATAATAATAATAATAAATTGAGAGATTCGAAGTGAATCTAATTCAAAGAAAGCCATTTGATTATTATAGCTTTCTTTAGACGGTATATAACAGTTCATATGTATCAAAAACATATTGATTGATGCAGATCAGTCATCTTTTCTTTGAATTAAAGAAGATTCGAATAAAAGTTGATTGAAAGAAAGCCATTCTTTTGTCATGGCTTTCTTTCAAAGCATAGATTGCTTACAAATGTACCAATCTCAAACGATTGGTACATATGTATCAACTTTTCTTTAAATCACAAAAGATTCGTAGTGAATTTGAAACACACATATTGCTTACATTTATACCAATCACATATTGTTGGTACATATTTATAAATAATTATTGTTTTGAGATCATTCTTAAAGTTGTACCAAAGACAGTCATTGTTAGACAATGATTGTCTTTGTTCGCAATAATCACTTATATTGATTTTACAATTTGCTATAGCAAGCCAATTATGAACCAATACTAATACAGTCTTTCAAAAAAATTGTATATCATTCATTCTCAATATATTCTATATACTTGTAACGCACATTTAATCAAATCATACTCATATAGGAAAAACACTGTATACTCACTAAATAGCTCAAATACATTTTGTTGTTAAGATATAATTTGATTTCACTGCAAATTTTGAGGAATTCATATAAAATACATGTATTATTATTTTTATTCATACATATAATACGAGCATACTGTGAATTAACTTAGAAACACAAAAGAGAGTGCGCATTAAAACATCTAACATTATATTTTTAATGAGCAATGTGAATGTATTATAGTATAATGCATCTATCCATGTAATATTATGTGGTAAGACCTAGTATTGAGGGCTTAAACATTAATTTACTATTTTTTGCTGCAAAAAATGGGAGTGTCACTTTTTGCTTGCAAAAATGGGATATTCCCAAAATAACTTGTTCTTCTCACAAAAAGTGCCAAATGTCTCATTATTCTGTTTTGTATCGTTAATAGCAAGGTTCAATGAATGACAGTCGCATGATATTGCAATGAAACCCATCTCTTCTCTTTCTTTATCGAACGCTGACCACTGAACACGAAGATTGTCGCCAATGAAACCTACTGGAGTAAGATGCAAGCGTGTGCATTCAGCAAAGCATTGATATATTGCTTTCATGTATGAGGCATGATTGCCTGGAAAGTTAGGCTTGGTCAAAAGAAGCAGAAAAGGCTTCAAGGATGTATTTGCATTCATGATGTAGCACTCAAGATAGTTAGTGCTTCCAGCATCTATTGCAATGCCAACATACTCAAGCTCTCTGAATAACCTTACTTGCATGTCAAAAACAATTGCAGCCATATTGATCGAAATATTCAGAAAAATTATGAAATTTAATTATTCTTGAACATCTACCATCCTTATCATGAACAATATTAACAATGTTAGGAATCTTTGCTAAACGTTGAAATAATAGCTTCGTTCCATTAGATTCCATCCCATTTGCACCACCAAAATAATTTGCTGAAGAGTTTATCTTTGAATTATTGCGAGTCACTAATTGATAATCAATCACTCTATGTGTTTGTACATCAATTGCCGTGACAAGACAATGATAACCATTTCGAGGATGGTCCCAATATCCATCGATGTCGATGGTTACATTTGGTTGTAATTGTGATTGACGTAATAATAAATCTTTATTGGTTATTTTCATGATTTCCTTTTCAAAAACTTTAATTTCTTCCACAGGAGTAGTTAGAATTTAAAAAAAATGAAATTAATTTTTTTTTCTCGAAATAGGAAAAAGTCTGAAACATAATAGTTTATTCATAAAAAGAGTAGGAGATAAAATATAGATTTGAGCAATAATTTTCTTGTTTTATCCAATATTCACCGCGAAACAAACCAATATAAGGAAATTTGTAAACCTCAGAATTTCACCCCTTAAAATAATAAAAATTAAAAAAAACATGCGTTTTCTTAATCAAATACAAATGTGTATGCCATATTTTAAAAGTCTCGGTTTTTCTTTATGGTATCTTATTATTTTAATTTTTAAATATATATATTGGGGAATTTTGAGAGTTGGCGTCACTAAGGCGTCATATTGTAAAACATTCAATTTTGAATAGTTTATGGCGTCATAAGGCAAGAATTCAGAGGGTGAGCGTCATGAAATAAATGTCAGATATTTTTAGATGAGCAATCGTCGAGGAAGTAAAAAGTGACCAAAAAATTATTTGTTGTTTTATTTGATATTATAGATAATATTATGGAATAAAAATTTTCATAATGATTTTCATAAGCTCAGTGAAATAATTGAGAATTTGTAAATTATGAAACAAAAAATTGAAGAAACTTTTGAGAGACAGAAAAAAATAAAAATAAAAATGATTTAAGAAATTGGATTGTGGCCTAGGATGGGCTGGACTAGAGCAAGTACTTCGTAGGCAACAATTTCCTCTCTGAGAATCTAAAACTTTTTCTCTCAAAAGTCTTTTTTTCAATAAATTTCAAAACCACAATCAATATTTTTGAAAGATTAACATTACTTCCTCTTTTATTTTTGACACAAATAACCGTTTTGTAAACTATGACGCCGGCCCTTTGAATTCACCCTTATGACGCCCGTAAACCATTCAAACTTGAATGGTTTACATCGTGACGCCTTCATGACGCCTCACTCAAACGAACCCATATATTGGCTTTCATAAAAGAAATAAGCATATTTCTAACTTTATTTACATCCAAATGTCTAATATATACCTGGACAAAGGTGTCTGACCAATATCAAAAATTTGAAATCGTTACATGTGTAGTGAAATTAACCAGAAATTATAAAATCTTCCCAAAACGGTTATTTTGGATTTTGCCCACAAATATCTTCCAAATCCATAAAAATTAAATATAAACGGTTAGGATGGTAGTTAGGATGGAAGATTCTTTATTATTATAAATTAGAGTAAAATTATAGATTTAGATACTACATACATTATGCATGATTTTCTCAGTTGGAATTTTGGTCAAATTTACACTTTTCCGACGTTTTGCCAGGGGCGCGAAGCGAGCGAAAAAAAGTCGGAAAAGTGTAATTCTCGGGTAAGGTCGCCAAAAAAAGTGCGGAAATTAAAAACCGCAGTTTGAGTACTTTCTGAGAGTCTGTTTGTCAGAAAGGATACATTTGTAAACTTTCTGACACTAAATTTTTTTGGTCCTTTCAAAGTTTTTGACAATGTCAAAAAGTATACATCGGGGCTCTCAATTTTCCTCTCAAACGGCGGTTTTTTAAAAACGCTCAATTTTTCATCGACCTTATATGATTATTTTTGCTTTTAATGCCGAACAGCATTTGAATCAAAAATAATCGTATGTCCGAGAATTCTCATTTTGAGAATGGGACAAAGTTATCACTTAGTTTTTTTTTAATGGTCGACTTAGTGGTTTCACTAAATGCCAACCAAAACGCTTACCAGCACAGTTACACTGAGCACAAAGAGACAAACAAGGGCTACGGTTAAAGTGTTCATCAAATCTCATTATATCTGCTTCATATTTGACATTCTTTACAAACTCAACCAAAACGCTTACCAGCAGCACAGTTACACTAAGGAAGAGACGCAAATATCTATTTTTATCTGAAATTACAATTTCATGTCTTTTTTTTAAAGAATTTGAAATTATAAATTCGGGGCATTCTATAAATTCATACACATTGCTTATTTATTAATGTTATATATCGTTATATAATAGTTAGTATACAAGTCTTGGGTATGGTGGCACTGCGTTCCACTTTACCCAATACTTGTGAATTTGACACTTTACAAAACCGTTAACGTATATTTTACAACACAAACGACAACACTAACTTAACCTTAAATATTTACAAAACCACCAACCACTTCACTAACGAACTCACTAATGTAAAAATAAACGTTCTCACTATCGTTCTCACTAACAACTTCACTAATGTTCTCATAAATTTTCCTCAATATCTTCATCATCAGTGTTAACCCTATTGTAGTCATACTTGAAGCCATAAACTTTCTCTAACTTCTTAACGTACAATTTACATAACTTACCTTCGTCATCGTATGGTTTAATGATATAACTATTTCTATCTTTATAAACAGTCAATGAAAAGTCAACTGGTCTCGGATGTATTTGAAAGAACATGTTATGCTCAGGAAGGAAGAATAAATGTTTAAATGTATGTTTGTTATATGTTTTGATTTGTATGAGTTGCTTTTGTTCTGTCATTACATCCAAATAAAATAAAAATAAAATAAAAAATAAACTTAAAAATTAATGATATCACCACCCGCACACGTATGAAAACATAGCACAAAAATAAATTTAGGGTAGAAGGTTAGATCTAACCCGATATCTAACCTCTTTTCTAACCTGTTGAATTCATTGCTTTATAACTCTCTTCCTTTCTCCAACTCTTCTAACTTCTTCTTAAGTTCAGCAATGTTGTCCTCATGAAGTTTAATCTTTCTCAAAATTCCTTCTCTATCTAATGGTTGCTTTATCTTTCTAAACTGAACTCTACCATCCTTCATAGTATGAACGTAAAAACCTTCTGGAATAATTCCTGATTTAATGTATTCTACCAAAAACTTTTGTTTCATTGCTTCAGTGACTTTAGTCGTCATTTCAATCAAATAAAAATGTTCAAATAAAATAAAAAATAACGTTATTTTTTCAGTAAGGAAACGCAGGAGTTTTACGATTTATTTGAGGAGTAGGTTCTGGTTTAAATGTTGGAGTCGGTTTAGGAGTTGACTTTTGAACAGGAGTTTGTACTTCCATAGGTTCAGGAGTCATTGAAGGTTTTGCTTGTGAAGGCGTTGGTTTTGGCGAAGGTGTTGGAGTTTGTTTAACTTCAGCTACTTCAGTATTATTTACAACATTTGCTTTATTTCTTTTCAACATCATAACTGCTCCTGCTGTAGCTAGCAAACCTAGTGGGAGACCATATCTTATATAAGGACTTGACCAAATGCTATTTTTGACAGGAGCTGGTGGAACACCTAACCTTGGTGAGACTGCTCTTTGCCATTGTGCAGCTCGTAAGAAATATTCAATAGGTGCTCCATAATCGTTTGGTAAAGTTTGTTTCATAGATGGTGAAGGTTCACGAGAGCTTGATGAAGAACTCATTTATAAGCTTTAAAAATAAACGTTCATCCTTTATTCCTCACTGTCGTCAGTTGCTAAGTTATAGTCGTCAAGTCTTATTATTGGTATGCCTGACTGTCTTACTTGTATTGCAAAGCAACAATCCCTCATAAATCCAATAAGTGGCTTTGGTACATTTTCAGTTGCTAGTTCAATAGGTCCTTTAACAGACAATTTGTATGTTATTGGAGCAGTAGATGTTTGACCTTGCTGGAAGCAAAAGTCCACTTCTGTTGGAAAACCACATAAGAAATGTGTGTTGTCATAGCTATCCCATTTATGTTCCACACTACCATCATCCACCAATGACCTCATAACATCTTCATTAAATCCTATCATATCATTGTTTGTATTGCAGGCGTTCGCAACCATTTCATAAAATACAGGTCCATATGATTTTTCAGGTTCTGCAGGCATATTTCCATAAGCTCCCATGGAAAGCTGAAGATATTTAAACTTAGGGTTCTCAAAATTAACATAATAGTTGTCTTTCTTTCTAAATAGTGCCCAAATACTTTTAACATTAATAGGCGTATAAGCTGCTGTAAATGTTGCACTTGAACTATCTGTATTCTTTGAGAATGAACCGTCCATAGGAATCCAATCCATAACTTTAACAGGAAAACATAAAGCCTCGTTTGTATAATGTTCTACAAGTTCTGTATAAATGTTAGGGTCTAAAGAGAATGACTTTGGATGAATGAAACATTCATTAAAATCCATCTTTGTTCGAAATAGTTGCTGGGTTACAGTTGTAATAGTAACTGTTCCACTAGCTTCTACTGCCTTCGTTATCATAGTGAATGGTTCATTCCATGGAACAAATTTATTTGTCGGTGGATTTGAATCTGAAGCAAATGCAACTTTAAGAGTTGGATTGAAAGCAATGATATCATTTACAGATATAGATGTGCATTGTAAGGCGTCGCTACTGAACTTTACTTTAAGCTGAATGTTACCAGCAAATGCAGGAATAAATCTATATAGCTTCTAATGGTAAAAACTTTCTAACAGGAATTCTTAAACGAAGCTTAAAATCAAATGATTTTCCTGCTGTAATTGGACCACTAACAATTTGTCCTGTTCTGCATGTTCCCGAATGACTCCATACATCTTCATGTCGAGTCTTTGAGAAAACATCTACTTTCTTTATTTGTTCGGTAGTTTGTGAGTTTGAAGTTATATATGCTTCTTCTCTTGCGTTGTCTTGAGAATATACAATACGACCATTTGCAAGGATTTGATATCCAGCAACTGCATAGAAAGCGTCATCGAACCAATCCAAAATCCTGGTGGGTTTGTTTTTTTATTGGAACCTGAACCAATTTCTTTATCTACAATAAATTGACCTTCCATTTTATACGTAATGAATGTATTGTAAAGGTCCAACATATTTTCACCAGGAGGTGAGAGATTGAATGTTACCCATGTGTTATCTTTAGCAGTTCCAGGTTGTGATGGAATCTTTGCGTCAGAATATTTTCTATTAGTGTCACCAATTTGAACTGCATTGTCTATGATATCGAAATATGAGCGAATCTGATGAATATGCTCTGCTGGAGTAAATTCGTTTAGCTGTTCGTTCTGCATGTATTTACTTCAGATAAAAATATCTATTTACTTCATTATTCTCACTCTTCTTCTTGGTATTCGTGGTGGAAGTTGTTTCTTGACATTTCAATGAACTGTACATTCTCTTTTGTCTCAACTTCTTTCACCGGCGGGTCAGGGTTCTTTGACTCGGTTTGTTTTTCAATGAAATTCACGAACTTTGCAATAAGCTCTTGGTTCGTTATTGAAAGTACATCTGGCTTCTTTTCTTTCTGGTTCTATTGACTTTTCAGTTTGAACAGAAGGTTTTATATGGGCTTCGTGGACTTCACCCTTGCCATGCACCTTAATGTTGTCGCTCTCTGCATTCGCTAATGGTACCTTTCTTTTTCTTACGTATATTTTACCATCTTTACTCTGACTTACGTAATAGAAAGGATGTTGTATTCCTCTTGCGTCATTTAATATAATAGACTCTCGCTCTGATTTTGACAAGCTCATTTTACATCGGTTAAAGTTTTAATTTAGTTTTTTTATCTGCAGTCAAATGACTCAGACAAGCCCTACGGACAAGACCCAAGGTGTCATAGATGTTGAAGCATTGAAGAAAGAAATTCGCGAGCAAATTTTATCCGAACTGAAGGAACAAAAACAAGAACAAAAGCCAGAGAGACCAAAGAGAAAACTTAGTGAAAAACAACTAGCTGCATTAGCTGCTGGAAGACAGAAGAACCCACGTTTGCTGGCGAAAAAAGCTAGAGAAGAAGCAAAAGCTAAAGAAGCTGAAGCAAAGAAAGAGTAAATGGTTTATTTTTATCCGAATTAAATGTATAGACAAATACCTTTAACTGTTGCGTTCAGTAGTGAAAACCCTGACGTCAAAATAAAGGGGAACAGAGTAACGTTTAAGTTTCCAACAGACTGGATTGTGAACATAAATGAAGAGAAGTACATTGGCATAACATCATGTATATAACACGTGCTTTCAGAAAGGTTGACTTTATACTTCAAGTCGAGATAGAAAATGACGAACAGTCTTTAAGCGCCCAAAACATTCACATATACAAATACTTTAAAGACGATACAACATTGCACAATGTATGATTTCAATTTAATGAGATGTTCGAGAAAAGTTCAACATTGAAGTACAAACTTTACAGCCTTTACGTGAGTTTCTTGCACAACTGAAAGAAGAAGGTAGTCAAGCCACAACTTATAGACTTTCATTATGAATTTAATGAAAATGAAGATGGAACTCATGACTGTCAATTCATTGTATTCTCACCATTCAATGAAGTCGCTAAAAAAAGAAAAATCCATTACGTATAAGATTTCAAATCTCCGAACCAAAGTGATGATTTTTAAGAATGTTTTCAAATTATGATGCAATGCTTCCGAGGAAAAAATGAATTTTCAAAGATTGTAACACCTGGCATTTGGATAGAAAGCAAGCAATACTTTACTCTAATATAGCCAAAGGCGTTGAAAATGAGTTCATTGGTCATACAAGAACTTCACCACTTCCTAACCCTAAATACTATAAATTAACTGGCTTCAATCGTGAGTTTTGGATAGACATGTACTCCACTCATGACCATAAATGTCCAGTGTTCTTGCTCCAGATGGGAAGGACTGTCTCTACATTGAAGCACAACTCTTAAACTCTACCATCGCAGTAATTGTAAAATCTACGCTAGCTTTATTTTTATCACGAATGACCTCATTGCTGAACAAAAATAAATGACCTCAGAACTTCAACTTACGAATAAAGCTTGTTTTAGTCGTTATTGAAAAGTTGAACTTTTCAGCAAAGCAAGGTTGACATGACTTACATAAGTCGAATGCAATCTCTTGACCATCATGAAGTGCTTTGTAAAGTTTCATTAAACTGAACTCAGAGTCTTTGTCATATGTTCCAACAGGTATGTGAATGTTCTTATCTTCATTGTAATAGCATTGTATAGCTTCAGGAAAACATTTCATTAGCGGTTAAAGCAATAACATCTTGCTTCACGCCTTTCATTCTGCAGTGAAATGCAACTTCATTTAAATCGTTAGTGAGTAAGTCTATGTAGGTCTTCTTTCCACAGAAAATACTTTTATAAGCTAAACTTTGTTTTCCAGGTGTTATTTCTGCAAAGTCGCTATGAAATTGACAAGGTTCTTTCCTATAAGTTCGCGACCATATCTCTTCTTAAACCTGCTGCAAGCTTTGGGATGTCTTCATTATATAAGTGCATACTGTCGGTATCTGGTAAAAGATTTGAAAGTCCCATGTCCTCTGCAGTACAGAATACTTCATTCATAATACGTTTTGACATAGACAGAATATTAACACCAAGTGGACAGAAGTTAAAGTGTCTGCAAATGCTTTTCGTTAGCTTGAAAATAGTTTTATCTGAACCATCCAAACCTTCGAACTTCACTATATGGTTGTAATTTCTTATAGCATATCTTATAGCATCTTTGTCATCTACTATGTTATTTTTGACTCAATAGGAGATAGAATAGTTTTGCCATAAATGCTGTTCAGAATGAGTTTTTATAATTTCTTGTAAGGGGTTTTCTTCTTTCTTATACTTTAACCTTAACTCAAACAACTTCTTTACTTCATCTCTTATTCTCATATCTCTGTTTCCATCGTAATAGTATCCTTGCAAACTTCACATTTGACACCTTGATATTTTATGAGGTCTTGTAATGTTATATGGTCAACATACATGAGACAGCAAGTGTTTTGAACTTCTTGGAACGTTAAGTTCTGGATTTAGTTCAGGGTCGCAAACTATTAAATGAAAGTGTCTGGGTATACCAATCTCTGTTATCTTAATGAGAACAAAGAAGCCAGACATAAACTTTTCACCAAATGGGTTCCTTTTGGTCGTCATCGAATAAATGTCTCATGAGATAACTCTGTGCTTAACATTTCTTCCTTCAATACTTTTGGAATACCTTCTAAAGTATAAAGTCTTGCTATAGCTGAAAGGATATAATGAAACAGTGTCGAAGTCAGCAATGAGTTTCTTTTTGCTCTTTTGTTTCATGTTATCTGACAACATACATCTTCCACCTTGAATGCATCTCGAAATAAATTCTCTTGGTTTATTTGAGAGGTCATAAAGATTTCCATTCGGGAAGTATACTCTGTTCTCAAACAATTTGTTAGCAATAGAACAAATACTAACGTAGTCATAAACGTTTAAATCAAACTCTTTCAATAAGTCATTGCGGAACTTTACAAAACCTTCTCTTAAAATTCTTACATCTTGTTTGCAGTAAAACGTGCTATATTTTTCTAAGTCGAAGTGGTTTTCATCTATTCTGCAACCTTTGATGGAATCTATGTTCTTCATAAATGTATCTGCATCATGGATAAACTTACATGCTTCAGAAATGACACCAGTTCTGTTGTCATTTGCTAACAAAACACTGCTGTAGTAGTTATATGGAAATACTTCTTTCGGTCCTGTTTGTAAGTTAAACATAGCAGGAAATAGTTTAAGCTTCTTATTTATAACACTGTAAGAGTCTTTTATAATAATTGCCCTTCCTTTATATAAACCAGTTATTTGCATTGTTCGTGAACCTTTAATGATGGGAGTTCCTTTCACTTCTGTCATGTGTCTTAAGATGAAGTTTATGTCATAACTGAGGTTATGGAAATATATTAAACTCTTGTCAGGAAGTCTTTCCAAAAATTCTGTTGCACAGTTTTGACCCCAAATACTTTCACTAACTGAACCATCTTCACTGTCATAACAGATGTTAAAAGCTTTATGAAAGCCATCCGTACTACACTCAAAGTCAGCAAAGAAAAAGTGCTCAGGTATGAACTTACATTTAGCTTTATTTACTTCTTTTGACTCTGCTTTCTTCTTCAGTTGTACACAATACTTTGGAGCATATGTCAAATCTTTAAATGGTGCAAGGTTCTGTTTATATAAGTCAGTCGTATATGTGAAAAGTTCTCCATAAGAAATAGGTTCAAAATATTTGCACTCCCACAATGTTTTCATACATCCCATACGTTGTATCTATCCATGCGAACTACATTATTTATCTTCTCTCTTTGTAATATTTTCATCTGTTTTTCAATGTTCATTTCCACCACACTCCTTCAAGATTTCTATATAGTTCGAATGAATATGTTGTCATTGGAAGTCTTTCATTTA